CCATTACAAGAAGCACCTCTTCATTCATATTGCTATTTTGTCCTGCCCCTATTATTGAATAACGCGCGCTCATCATTGCTGATCAACAATAATAATCAAACTCCCCATTGCAGATGCTGCGATGTGACTATTGCGAATGCACACATTGCGATATCGATGCTGAAACGATATACCGTGCAGCCCCAGTTAATATTTACATTTTTTAGCAAACAGAATTTAGGGGTTAAATGTGCTTAATCTCATGCAAATAATATATAAACGAATGCGACACAGAATAAACTAAATTTCTGATGTCTTAAAATATATTAAATAGATATATAATAGCTCACTGCTGTGTTTTTACGACTCATTTAAGGCTGAATTATGTGCTGGACATGTTATTGATTGCTTTGAGGATTCACTGTCCTCTCAGATAACACACACAGAGCGTCCGTCTCGCTCTCTGATCACGTCTCAGACCCATGAATGACTCTGCTGATGACTCTGTGTGTGTGTGTGTGTGTGTGTGTGTGTGTGTGTGTGTGTGTGTGTGTGTGTGTGTGTGTGTGTGTGTGTGTGTGTGTGTGTGACTGTGTGATAGCAGATCAGATCACATCACACTGTTTAACTCATTGCGAAACTCTAGATAGAGAAGCAGTTGCAGAAGTAAAGCTCACTACACACACACACACACTCACACACAGAGAGAGATTGCATTACTGTATATACTGTAACACTGCGGCTGAATGAAAACCATGTTCATTTTGCACCCAATGCTGAAATAAAAACATGGTATACTATAGAATAAACACAGAAAACACACAAATACCACGATACCAAGTACGTTTACCATGGTATTTTAAAAAAAGGTGCTTCCTTTAATTAAACTATCCTCATATGGTAATATTAAAGTATCATATAGTGAAACCAAAAAGATTTACTATATTTATTCCCCTTATTGGTGTCATTGGTAGCAAATAGATAAAGTAAAAAGCACAGCATTACCATGGTACAAGTGCAGAAAACACGGTATTACTATAGCATGTTGATGTGTCAATGTACTAAAACTGAAAAATGAACAAGCATGGTATGATATAACAAATAATTTTACTTTCTGTTTGCTTGACTATTCATTTACGGTCAAATTAGAGTATTTGGATAATTTTACTATGGTATTTCTGACAGCATTTTCATTTACCGTGTTTCCTCTGGGTTTTTTTAAAGGATATCACCATAAAGGATACTGAAAACTACAATATTATACCATGGTAAATGTTAATAAATGGTTAGATTGGTTTACACTGTCTTTATATGGTGCAGTATTACCACAGTAAATTTGATATATACCGTAGTACTACATTTATACATTCAAATACCATTTTACTTCAAGGTTTTTCAAAGAAAACCATGGTACCTCCACTATACGTAGACAAAACCCCTAATATCACTACAGTATTTCTCCAGAAAACATGGCACTCTTATAGTGTGTTTAAAAAATACACTACAGTAATACCATGGTACTGAGGCCTTACTATAGCATGTTGATGTATCAGTGTACTAAACTTAAAAAATGAATAAGCATGGTATGATATAACAAGTAATTTCACTTTCTGTTAGCTTGACTAATCATTTATGGTCAAATCAGGGTATCGGATCATTTTACTATGGTATTTCTGACAGCATTTTCCTTTACCGTGTTTCCTCTTGATTTTTTTAAAAGATATCACCATAAAGGATACCGAAAACCACAATATTATACCATGGTAAATGTTAAAAAATGGTTAGATTGGTTTATATTGTCTTTATATGGTGCAGTATTACTATGGTATGCATCAAATTTACCATGGTAGAACATTTTTACAATACTTAAATACCAATTTACTTAAAGGTTCTTTATGGCATTGCCACTATACATGTACAAAATCCACAATATCACTACAGTATTTCTCCAGAAAACATGGTACTCTTATAGTATGTTCAAAAAATACACTACGGTAATACCATGGTACTGAGGCATAATAAACTTTCTGTTTGCTTGACTAATCATTTATGGTCAAATCAGAGTATCAGATCATTTTACCATGGTATTTCTGACAGATTTTCAATTTGCCATGCTGTTTTCAAAGGACACCACCATACATGACCAAAATCTACAGTATTATACCATGGTAAATGCTCAGAAATGGTTGGATTGGTTTATACTGTCTTTATGTGCAGTATTACCATGGTAAATTTACCTGAATATATACCACGGTACTAAATGATTACAATATTAATTTACTATGGTATTTTAATGATTGACTCTCCAATGGTTGGACTATGCTTTAATAGTCATGTGAAAAAATAATAAAGTATAGATTTGTTTTTATATATTACCTACCATAGTTTACCATTTTCACTTGCCATATTTTACCACATAATACCATGGTATTATCAATAAACGTGCCCAAACGGTAGTATTAGAATGGTAAATGACTAATAAACACTGTAACTGCATCTATATGACACCAAATAAGGCAATATTACATGACAGCAAATACAAAAATATGATGCTAAGTTACCTCAATATATACCGTGGTACTGAATGATTACAGTATTAATTTAACACAGTATTCCAAAGAACACCACTCCCCATTTGTTGGACTGCTTTTATAGTCAAGTGAAAAAAATACAGAGTATAGAGTAGTTTTTATTTAGCCTAACGTACCAAAGCAGTCAACGTTTACCATACTCGTATGCCATATTTTACCACAAAATATCATGGTATTATCAATAAACAAATCTAAACTGTACTGTTAGCATGGTAAATGACTAATAAACACTACAACTGCATCAATATGAGACCAAATAGCACAATACTACATGACAGAAAGCACACTAGTGCAATGCTACCTGACAATATACCACGGTACTAAATGATTACAATATTAATTTACTATGGTATTCCAATGATTGACACTCCCCAATGGTTGGACTATGCTTTAATAGTCATGTGAAAAAAAATAATAAAGTATAGATTTGTTTTTATATATTGCCTACCATAGTTTACCATATTCACTTGTCATATTTTACCACAAAATACCATGGTATTATCAATAAACGTGTCCAAACGGTAGTATTAGAATGGTAAATGACTAAAAAACACTGTAACTGCATCTGAGACCAAATAAGGCAATATTACATGACAGCAAATACAAAAATATGATGCTAAGTTACCTTAATATATACCATGGTACTGAGTTATTACAATACTAATATACCACAGTATTCTAAAGAACACCACTCCCCATTTGTTGGACTGCTTTTATAGTCATGTGAAAAAATAATACAGAGTATAGAGTAGTTTTTATTTAGCCTACCAAAGCAGTCAACGTTTACCATACTCGTATGCCATATTTTACCACAAAATACCATGGTATTATCAATAAACATGTCCAAACCGTAGTGTAAGCATGGTAAATGACTAATAAACACTACAACTGCATCAATATAAGACCAAATAGCACAATACTACATGACAGAAAGCACACTAGTGCAATGCTACCTGACAATATACCACGGTACTAAATGATTACAATATTAATTTACTATGGTATTTTACTGATTGACACCCCCCAATGGTTGGACTTTGCTTTAATAGTCATGTGAAAAAAATAATAAAGTATAGAGTTGTTTTTATATAGCCTACCATAGTTTACCATATTCACTTGCCGTATTTTACCACAAAATACCATGGTATTATCAATAAACGTGTCCAAACGGTAGTGTTAGCATGGTAAATGACTAAAAAACACTGTAACTGCATCTATATGATACCAAATAAGGCAATATTACATGACAGCAAATACTAAAATATGATGCTAAGTTACCTCAATATATACCGTGGTACTGAGTTATTACAATACTAATTTACCACAGTATTCTAAAGAACACCATTCCCCATTTGTTGGACTGCTTTTATAGTCATGTGGAAAAAAATAATACAGAGTATAGAGTAGTTTTTATTTGGCCTACCAAAGCAGTCAACGTTTACCATACTCGTATGCCATATTTTACCACAAAATACCATGGTATTATCAATAAACATGTCCAAACTGTAGTGTTAGCATGGTAAATGACTAATAAACACTACAACTGCATCAATATAAGACCAAATGGTACAATACTACATGACAGAAAGCACACTAGTGTAATGCTACCTGACTATATACCACGGTACTAAATGATTACAATATTAATTTACTATGGTATTTTACTGATTGACACCCCCAATGGTTGGACTTTGCTTTAATAGTCATGTGAAAAAAATAATAAAGTATAGAGTTGTTTTTATATAGCCTACCATAGTTTACCATATTCACTTGCCGTATTTTACCACAAAATACCATGGTATTATCAATAAACGTGTCCAAACGGTAGTGTTAGCATGGTAAATGACTAAAAAACACTGTAACTGCATCTATATGAGACCAAATAAGGCAATATTACATGACAGCAAATACAAAAATATGATGCTAAGTTACCTCAATATATACCGTGGTACTGAGTTATTACAATACTAATTTACCACAGTATTCCAAAGAACACCATTCCCCATTTGTTGGACTGCTTTTATAGTCATGTGGAAAAAAATACAGAGTATAGAGTAGTTTTTATTTGGCCTACCAAAGCAGTCAACGTTTACCATACTCGTATGCCATATTTTACCACAAAATACCATGGTATTATCTATAGATGTGTCCAAACAGTAGTGTAAGCATGGTAAATGAATAATAAACACTACAACTGCATCTATATGACACCAGATAAGGTAATGTTACATGGCAAAAAAACACAAAAATACAATGTTACCTCAATATATACCATGGTACTGAATGATTACAGTATTAATTTACCACAGTATTCCAAAGAATACCACTCCCTAATAGTATATACCAGAGTATTGTCAATAAACACGTCCAAACCTTTGTGTTAGCATGGTAAATGACTAAAAAAAACAGGGTATGCGGTGTAAATCTGACCTGCAGCCGCCTGCGTCTGATTATCCCCGAATCATCCATGTTTTGTCGGCTCGAGATGCTGTTTTTGTGCGGGTCAGTGGAGCCTCGGCGGGTCTCTTGGGTTTCTATCCTCAATCCGGCTCATATCGAGCATCTGAAGGGGTCTTCACGACACCCGCCTCCCGCAGGAGCCCGATAGAAATGAAATAAATAAATAAACGGATAGCTGAAGAACCGAGCGCGTGAAGCAACGCAGGCTCGTGACGTCATAAAGGAACGTGCGCGAGATCAGCGCGAGTGAGCGGGCGCGTGTCCTCCGCTTTTAGCATCAGCATCTCCTGTTCTCTCTCCGTGTTCGTCCGGTTTTGTTCATTCATTTCTCTCCCTCTCTCTCTCTTTCTCTCTAATGATGATGATGATGCTGAACGGCTCCTCCTCCGCGTCTCCTCACCGCGTGATCTGCATGACGAGCGCTTTATTATTATTATTATGAATATTAATTGTAATAATACTAAAACTGATTATTTTTTATTGTTTATATGTGGTAGAGCAGCAGGTTTTTGTCTAATTCAAGACATTTATTTTAATAAATCTTGGTGTTGGATTTCTTGAAGAATGAATATATATTTTATATATATATATTTTTTTTTTATTATTTTTATGTGTGTGTGTATATATATATATATATATATATATATATATATATATATATATATATATATATATATATATATATATATATGTGTGTGTGTGTGTGTGTGTGTGTGTGTGTGCATTTTTGATGCATTTATCAGTATTTTGTTTACTAAACAGTTTAATTCATTCATTCATTGTTTATTTGTTATTTTTATTTATTTACCGTTATTTGTTTGGTTGTTTAGCCTGTTAATTGTTTGATTTTGTACTTAAACACCAATATATTTATTTGTTTGGTCGTTTGTACTATTTTTATAGTTTATTTTATTCATTTATTTGCTGTTATGTTTATTTGTTTGGTTGTTTATACTGTTTATTTATTGTTTATTTTTATTTATGTGCCGTTATATTTATTTCTTTGGTCGTTTATACTGTTGGTTTATTTTTATTTTTGTGCCGTTTTATTTATTCTTTGGTCGTTTATTCTATTTATTTATTGTTTATTTTTTATTTATGTGCTGTTATATTTATTTGTTTGCTAGTTTATACTTTTTATTTATTGTTTATTATATTTATGTGCCGTTTTATTTATTTATTTGGTTGTTTATACTATTTATTTATTGTTTATTTATTTGTTGTTGTATTTATTTGTTTGGATGTTTACACTGTTTATTTATTGTTTATTTTATTCATTTATTTGTTGTTATATTCATTTCTTTGGTTGTTTATACTGTTTATTTATTGTTTTTTTATTTATGTGCCATTTTCTTTATTTGTTTGGTCGTTTAAACTGTTTGTTTTTTGTTTATTTTTTATTTGTTTGCTGTTATATTTATTTGTTTGGTTGTTTATTCGGTTTATTTATTGTTTATTTTATTCATTTATTTGTTGTTATATTCATTTCTTTGGTTGTTTATACTATTTATAGTTTGTTTGTTTTTATTTATTAGTTGTTATATCTCTTTGTTTTTTATGTTTATACTTTTTATTCACAGTTTATTTTTATTTATGTGCCGTTTTATTTATTTATTTGGTTGTTAATGCTATTTATTTATTGTTTATTTATGTACCGTTGTATTTATTTTTTGCTCGTTTATACTGTTTGTTTATTGTTAATTTTTATTTATGTGCTGTTATGTTTATTAATTTGTTTGGTTATACTGTTTATTTTTTGTTCATTTTTATTTATGTGCCGTTATATTTATTTCTTTGGTTGTTTATACTGCTTATTTTTGTTGATTTATTTGCTGTTAAATTTATTTGTTTGGTAGTTTAAACTGTTTGTTTATTGTTTATTTTTTATTTGTTTGCTGTTATATTTATTTGTTAGGTTGTTTATACTATCTTTTAATTGTTTATTTTATTTATTTGCCATTATATTTATTAATTTGGTTGTTTATACTATTTATTTATTGTTTATTTTTATTTATTTGTCGTTATATTTATTTGTTAGGTTGTTTATACTATCCTTTAATTGTTTATTTTATATATGTATCGTTTTATCTATGTGTTTGGTTGTTTATTCTGTTTATTTTTTGTTTATTTTTATTTTGTTTGCTGTTATATTTATTTGTTATTTGTTTATTTATGTGTCTTTGATTTACCTCTTCATTCATTCATTCATTCATTCAACTGTTTGTTTAATTCTTTAGGCTCTTCATTCAGTTATTTGTTTGTTTATTTAAAGTGTGTCTATTGTGTTTGTGTTTTTCATTATTACTAATTATTTTATTAATATAAATTAATTAATATTTATTTTGTTATTTTTGTTTGTTTGTTTATGACATTCATTTATATTTTATTGTTTGGTTGTTTATGCTTTTCTTTCATTCGCTTATTTATTTATTCATTTATTTATTTATTTGTTTGTTTATGTCTCTTAAAAATCAAGCCTTTTGTTTGTTTGTCTTTAAGATTATTTTAATTGTTTATTTATATGACTTTCATTTCAGTTTAGGCTTTTCAGTTTAATCGTTTTTTTTAATTATTCAGCCTTTGTTCATTTATTCATTGAAATTATGTCTCTTAAATAAAATTTTTATTCTTTTAAGCGAGAGGGCTTAACAAACAATTGCAAATGCACACGCATTTAAGAAAACACACGCAATTATGTAATTACAAAAAATCCATGCTGTCAAACCAATAATGATCTTTTCATAATTGCCAGGAGTTCTTTGTAATAGCATGTGCTACTGTAGCGCATTAGGCTCTCGCTCATTTGCATTTAAAGGCACAGGCTACAAAACACTTGTCTTTTTATTCCGAAATTCCCATATGCAGGATGTTGCTCTCGGTCTGAAGAGCAGAATTAAACACAGTCTGATTCTCTTAATCTCCTCATATTGTGAGTCTGGGATGCCGGAGTATTGCGTAATGTTGAGCAGCGGAGGATTGTCTGTTTTTTACATAACACACGGTCAGATCAGCAGCGCTCTCTCTCTCTCTCTCTCTCAGTGTCTACCGCACTAAAACTGCTCTGGGATCAGCATTATAACCACAATAACTGCAATTGATAATTGGTTTATGTTTTATCAGCAGGAAATGTGCATGCTAAAAAAATCTAACTGTCAGTGTTGACTGTCGGAGATATTAAGTTTTATTTTTTTTTACTTTAGAAGTTCCATTTAGTTGCATCTGTTTTCAATCGTTGTTTTTGTTCTGTATCTTATCCTTGTAGTTTAGGTTTCTTTTATTCAGTCTTGTGATTCGTGTCCAATCAAATCGCACATTACATTGCACAAACTGTTTGGAAGCGGTAAAAGTGTCCAAGAAGATGTCCAAAATCTTTACACGCGTTGACCCAGAGACTGTTTAGATGCATGTCACTGATGAGAAGATGACGGATGTTTACTGTATGATGACCCAAATGGCCTTAAACAGCCAGCAGGCACAAGACGCCAACATGACGTCAGATTGACGTTTAGCCCCAACGTCATGGCGACGTTGCATTTTGTTAGAAAATAAAAATCGAGTTGACGTCAGAACCTAATGTCAGGACGATGTCAATGTCCAACCAAAATTCAACCAAATATCAACGTCTAAGGATGTTCCAGCTTGACGTTGTGTGGACGTTACCACTATGACGTCTATTTTTGGATTTAGTTTGACGTCTTGGATTTTGTTTGCCATACCTGACAAATAAATGTCAGTATTTGACGTCAATAGGATGCTGGTTTAAGATGTTGGCTCGACGTTGGATTTTGGTCACTTTCTAACAACCTAAAATCAACCAAACATTTGACGTCATTATTTGACATTAAAATATCGTTGTCCTTAGACGCTGACTAGACATTGAATTTTGGTCACCTGACATCATGACCTAAATCTAACCTAATATTAACGCCTCATGATGTTGTGTGCCTGCTGTGCAATAACTAGATACACTACAGAATGTTACGTTTACACACACATCCACAAATTACATGTAAACGCATCAGCTTTCTACAGAGTAATACTTACTACTCTTGAATGCTTTTGAAAGAGCTGCTATTTACTCATACTATGAGCAATACTTACAACAGATACTTTTACTCTACTCGCACTACATTTTTAGGCAAGTAATACTACTTTTACCCACGTATAATTTTTCAGTACTCTTTCCATCACTGAGCACTTTCAATAGGGTATATGCCGAGCTAGTGTTGTTCCCATACTGATAAACTTCGGGTGATCTGTTATTGTGAGTTTTTTTCCATCTTATATGGTTCCTTTTACAGCATAGATGTTGTAATGTCATTAAATAGAATCAGTTGAACAGACTTTAGCATTTAGTTGCTCAAGCGTAAAACAAGACAAAAAGCTGTTTACTCGCACACGCCTGTCAGAATCGGCAGGCTAGCGCAGAAGCTCCATTGAATATACTGGGGTAAAATAAATGCTCATATTATAAAGACATGATGGGAGGAAATGTAATTTAATGCAGTGCTTCTTGTACAATCTGAGACCCACTTTATATCAGATATCACTCAGCCATTGTAGATCGCTGATTTAAAAAAAAACAGCCCTTAAATGCGCCGATTTTGCATTGGCATACAGTTCACTGGAAGCAATAAAACCCAGGTTTCAAGCAAATTAAAAGTCCTAGCATGCTTCGACATATACCCTATTACCATTGTGTATGAAATGTGCTACAGAAATAAACCTGCCTTGCCTTTTTTTTTTCAAATAAGGCAAGAAATTAACCTGCCTTACCTAAATTTTAATTAATTGTTTAGTAATTTAATATTTTGTGTAAATTATTCTTATTTTCTTTCTGTTATATATATATATATATGTATATATATATATATATATATATATATATATATATATATATATATATATATATATATATATATATATATATATATATGTGTACAGTTGAAGTCAGAATTATTAGCCCCCCTGTATTATTAGCTCCCCTGTTTATTTTTTCTCCAATTTCTGTTTAATGGAGGGAAGATTGTTTCAGCACATTTCTAAGCATAATAGTTTTATTAACTTATTTCTAATAACAGATTTATTTTATCCTAGTCATGATGACAGTAAATAATATTTTACTTGATATTTTTCAAGACACTTCTATACAGCTTAAAGTGACATTTAAAGGTTAATACTAGGTTAATAATAATAATATAATAATAATTCGTTACATTTATATAGCGCTTTTCTGGGCACTCAAAGCGCTTTACACAATGGGGGGGAATCTCCTCATCCACCACCAGTGTGCAGCATCCACCTGAATGACGC